ATTCACTACAGCCAGTTATTTCTTGCCAAAATTCCACTGTTGGAATTCAGCATTTTAAATAAAATATTTCTAGGATTAATTTCAACAGATTGCTCGCTAAGTTCCTTTGGATCATCAGTTCTATGGATTTTGATCTCCACTCATCCTGTGTCAGGTCAAGACACAGGTTTTATTTCGACCCTGAGACAAACTGACCTCAGGAAGACCTTCCTTGGTCCAGGAGTTGATATTGCCATGCTCCATCATCTACTATGTACTACACAATTGTGTTTCAATTTCATACTTATTTTTGCCTATGACTGAGACGCTGGTACAGAACATATTCAATGTATCTCTAAATTTTCATGTTATGTCCACTGAATCATGTTCTACTTCAGTCAGTATTCACATTTGTTAAACAAGCTTAAAAGCACTCCATGGCACAGACTATGTAAGAGATGGAAACAGCCTCCTTTTTCTCTGGAAACCCAGTCATGTGTATTATGTATGTCCATGTGCAGATGTTCTGGAAACTTGAAATTTAATTCCTACCTTATGAATGCTTCTTTCTGTATTCATATCATGAACTTCACAGTTTGCTTCCAAAACATTCAGTAAATGCAGAGTAATCACAACTATCTGAATCAAAAGAAGAATGAGGATTGAGGAGAAAAATTATCTTTCTATATAGAAACAGCAGATGGGCCTGTAGACTACACATGCAACAATGAAGTCACTATAAAGATTGTCAAGACATGGACCTGCAGGAGAATTTTCTAAATGGGTGCCATTTCCCATGAAAATGATATTGCAGCTGCAACAGGACAGGGTTCTGAGGTCACAACTGCCAGGCAAGTACTATGGTACACATCTGAAGGAATCAGGTGGAAGCCAGTTCACAGGTCAGGTCACAGACTTCACATATTTATAAGGAGTCTCCAACTTCATCACATAACATCTAGTCTATCTGTCTCCACCTCAGAACACCTTATCCCACACTTGCATTTCTGGCTTCTATGTTGTTTCCTTGTTTATTTGATTCCTGCTCTCTGAGGAAATCCTCCAGCAACCAGGTTCCAATACTAGGGTTTTTGTCAACCGTTGAGCATGGGACCAAAACATGGTAGCAAAAATATAAAGGAAGACTCCATATAATGAATTGTCCTCATCTCCCTGGTCCTCTTTCCAGTTGACAATGCACACAGCCTTCCTTCATCACCCGATAGCTGGTGATGAAAGACCAAATATTTGAGACGGAAAGGACAGAGAAAGTGATCCAAAACCTATACTGATGAGCAAGTTGACAGGTGCCTTTCCTGGATTACATATAGGCTACTGCAGTGCTCCACAGGGCATTAGTACACTCAAAATGAGGTTTCTCTTGTATATACAGAGCAGGTATTCACTAAATGTATTTTTTGCAAGTTTACTCCTACATGCAGTAAGTAAGATGGAAACTGTACTCCAGTGAATTCAGATTATGTAGTCTGGAAATGACTACTAAACTGGGGGGGGGGGCTTGAGAACAGGCCAGATATACTAGAGTGTGAGATGAGGCCAATCGTTTTACTGCCTTATGAGAAAACGAGGCCTATTTCAACTTTTCAGGACAGATATTGGAATCCAGGACATTTATTCAGACCTATCTCTTCAGCAATATCTTTCATTTGCAGACAGGTTTTCACTATGTTTCCAAGTTACCAAGCCTGGCTTTAAATTGCAAAGTTGAAAATCTCTTGCCTCAGGTTCCCAGATGGCTTAAATCAAAAGAAATCACCAACTTTCCTATGTCTGAAACATTTTATTAAAAATAATAAAACATTAAAATTACAAAATGTAAATATGAACTACATTGTAGTAATTCATCAGCAATATTCTATATCAAGATCAAGTGTGCAGAAATGCCAACTGCCTCAATGTATATTACAATATTGGAGAGTAATATATTTCACACATGGAAACTTACACAAATAACATTTTATATATACTTAAAATTTTAGAATATATTGAAAAATGTACAAAAGTAAATAACTAAATAGTACTAAATACAGTAATTAGCATAATAACCACAGTATAATCAGAATCTTGTGAATGTGTTCTCTTTCTCTTCATATGTCATACTGCCTTGCACCTAACCTTCTTCTCAGGTTGCGACATCACGTGATGGCTCTCAAATTATGCAACATGAGATAAATAATGACTCCATGTGACATTAGATTTATTTATGCTACTTAGAACAAAACATGACTTAGACTTTCTCAACATTTATTTCTGAGTTTTATTTCAATATCATAAGGTGCTGCTGAAATGCCACTGTGGATCATGTGCCTAAATGGATACTATGAGAGTTTAGCAGTGCTATGTCCCTAAGACTGTACAGAGAGCAGCAAAAGTGGTGTATTATTATCCTGCATGAAATTTTTTCTAAAAATATAATGCTACAACCTGGGCATGAAGGTATATGCTTGTAATCTCATGACTTGTAAGGCTAACACGAGAGGATTGCTGGAAGTTCAAGATCAGCCTGGACTATAAATGGAGCCCAAGGTTAGCCTGAACTACAAAGTGAGCTCATGACCAGCCTGGCCTACAAAGTGAGCCCAAAATCAGCCTGAACTTCATAGCAAAGTTGTTTCCGACAAAACAAAACTAATGGTACAACTCTCATGCATTGAATTAAAGCACTTGTAGTTGTTACCTTATTTATTGGAAACTGGTGATGCTTTTTTTCTGGTGTCATGATTTAAACATCACTTCCATCACTCACTAGTACTATTCTGGCAATCATATTCCATGCATTTTCTTTGAACCCTAGGAACTTATGTGAAATCATGATTCACTTGCATACTCAGGATATTACTATTTATAAATGACTGCCTTAATCTTAGAAGGATGGTGCTTACATTTGTAGAAAAGTACATGATGTGTAATAGGCAGTAGGAGCATACTTCTTTCAAAATAGAGATGATCAAGAAAGAGAAAAAACATAAATTGGGCATGTTAAGGCAATAATAATGAACTCACACCTATTATACCCACTGATGCCTTCCAAAGATGAACACTTACATTGTGAACTAAAAACAGGCACTAATGCATTTATACATACTTTAAATTTTCTTTTGCTTTTGTGATTATCTTATCATAAACATACATACATAGTTGCATGTCATGAGCTGTTGTGAAGGACACTGCTAATGTGTTTGTGAAAATCCTTCTACAAGAAATAATTGATGCACATCCAACTGGAAAAGAGTGGAAAAAACAGGTGTCATCTATGCAGATGTTGGTGGATCAAAAATGTGGGGGAAATTCTTCAGCATCCTTGAATTATCTTTAAAAATTTTATTTTTAATAGTAAGTCTACAAATAGTTTAGCTAGTTATATGTGATACTGAAGCATAAAATAAATGTGCTTTGGATTATCTCCATCATAAAGTGTGATTGCTGTAAATTCTATAAAAATATATTCACATCAATTTTTTTGGTATTTCTACAGGTCTGGACTACAAGAGTAATTTGCAAAGTATTTTCAAAATAGTCATTTACATATGTCAAATTTGTTTTCATAGTGCTGACTTTCATGTATTTGACCATACACAGGAATACTGAGTGCTTTCTCAGACAGCATACAGAGGCATAATGTTGGAGGTTAGCATCTCTGTCAATGGAATATTTTACTCAATACATTTTTCACAGCTATAACACAGTGTGTGAGAAATTTAGCATTTATACAATGGAAAATTTGCAAGAAATCCTTCTCACATTAACTACTTACATGAAATGTTTCCCTGTTTGCATTATTTCATTATTTGATTGCATTATTTTGCACTGAATACTTTTCTCCATTGTTGGAATGCATAGGGTTACTTCCTTATGTGAACTCTTTCATGTCATTATAATCACTGGTGGTGGGCAAATTTGCTGCATTGCTTACATGCATACAGATTCTTCCCATTGTGAGTCCTTTCATGTGTTCATCAGGTACAAAACGAACTGAATGTTTTCCCAAGTTGCTTACCTACATAGGGTTTCTTCCCATTGTGGAATCTTTGAAATGTTTACAAGCTATGGGCTTGGCTGATAGATTTCCCACACAGCTTACATACTTAAGTTTTTTCTCTGTGTGGGATCTTCTAATTCTAGAAAATATGGATTATCAGCAGAGCTTTTCAATTATGACTTATATAAGTTTTATCCCAAGTGTGAATTATTTTATGGATGACATTACGGTATTGATTGAAAGATTTTCCAAATTATGCACCTATATAGTCTTTCTCCCTACTGAGAGTTCTATCATGCTTTTTATAACCTGTTTGTATACTGAACATGTTTCTAAATGTCTTGCATGATAAGATTTTTCCCTAATTTAATTTCATTCTTGTTTCTGTCAGTGAATGTGTCTGCCTCTGCGTTTGTGATGGTATATCTTAACATTAGGATGGCTACATGGATACAGGCCATGAACACAAGCACAATTTTGAATATGAATGTATAGACACTTCTTGGTAAACTGATACAGGAGTTACAGATTCTGATTGGAAAACTTGTCATGAGACAATTAGGTGTCATCCATCAAAACAAGACATTGACGGATCAAAACATGGAAAAATGATATAGCATACTTAAATTTTCATTAAAAAGTGTAACATTATTATTAAGACTACAGACAGATAAACTATTTATTAAAAAAGACAAAATATTTTAGGACAATTCTGTTTCAGGTTGTCTTCAAAAATGTATGAGCATATATTGACAGAAATTATTTTATAATATTTTGGCAGGTCTTCTCTACATGACTAATTTTGAAATTATTTTCAAAATAGTCCCTTACATATGTATGATTTCACTTAACTCGGATTACTTTCACAGTTTTGACAATAAACATGTATAGTGAATACTTTCCCACATGGCATACATAATCTTGGGACATAGTATGACATCACTCAGAAGGTTAGCAGCTATCAGCTGAACTTTTACCAAATCTTCCTTACATGCAGTTACTCCCCAATGTGAGAGGAATCTGATGTTTTCAAAAGGGGAGCACTGTAGCAAATCTTTGCCACACTGCCTACATATATATGATATCTTCCTTGTGTGCAATATTTCCCTATGGCATTTTTGTGTGCTACATATGATCTACCATTGTTCAGTTGCATAGAATTACTACACAGAGGGAGTTCTTAAATGTAGTGGCAATCTCAATGGTATGGAAAGTCTTCCCATATTCCTTATGCTCATAAGATTTTTCCCAGTGTGATATATTTGATGTTATAAAGTAAGAATGTATAAACAAATCCATTTACTCATTTCTCATATAGATAGGGATTTTTTATAGAGTGAATTCTTTTCTATACAAAAAAGCTACTATTATAGCTAAAATACATCACAAATTAATTACATCAATGGAAAGGGTTCATTTTCAGCACTTCTGTTTACTGAATGTTTTGGTATATTGGTTGTACCAAAGATGTTCTATAGGGTGTGAGTTCTTTCATGAATAATAAGGTGACTGCTTTGACAGAAAGATTTCCCACATTGCTTACATACAAAGGGTTTCTCCCCAGTGTGTATTCTATCATGTACCTTACAAGCAGAGGATGTGCTGAATGCTTTCCCACATTTGTTGCATACATAGGGTTTATTCCTTGTGTGAATTCTTTCATGTCTAATAAGGTTAGGCTTTTGACTGAAAGATTTCCCACAATGCTTACATACAAAGGGTTTATCCCCAGAGTGAATTCTATCATGTACTTTACAAGCAGAGAATGTACTGAATGCTTTCCCACATTTGTTGCATACATAGGGTTTATGCCCTGTGTGAATTCTTTCATGTATAAGAAGGTTAGGCTTTTGATTGAAAGATTTCCCACATTTGTTGCACGCAAAAGTTTTCACTCCAGTGTGAATTCTTTCATGTTTAATAAGGCCACTGTTTTGACTGAAAGATTTCCCACATTGTTTACATACAAAGGGTTTCTCCCCAGTGTGAATTCTATCATGTGCTTTACAAGCAGAGGATGTACTGAATGCTTTCCCACATTTGTTGCATGCAAAGGGTTTCTCCCCAGTGTGAATTCTTTCATGTCTAATAAGGTTAGTCTTTTTATAGAAAGATTTCCCACAATGCTTACATACAAAGGGTTTATCCCCAGAGTGAATTCTATCATGTACTTTACAAGCAGAGAATGTACTGAATGCTTTCCCACATTTGTTGCATACATAGGGTTTATGCCCTGTGTGAATTCTTTCATGTATAAGAAGGTTAGGCTTTTGATTGAAAGATTTCCCACATTTGTTGCACGCAACAGTTTTCACTCCAGTGTGAATTCTTTCATGTTTAATAAGGCCACTGTTTTGACTGAAAGATTTCCCACATTGTTTACATACAAAGGGTTTCTCCCCAGTGTGAATTCTATCATGTGCTTTACAAGCAGAGGATGTACTGAATGCTTTCCCACATTTGTTGCATACATAGGTTTTATCCCCTGTGTGAATTCTTTCATGTATAAGAAGGGTAGGCTTTTGATTGAAAGATTTCCCACATTTGTTGCATGCAAAGGGTTTCTCCCCAGTGTGAATTCTTTCATGTTTAATAAGGTCACTCTTTTGTCTGAAAGATTTCCCACATTGTTTACAGGCAAAGGGTTTCTCCCCAGTGTGAATTCTATCATGTGCTTTACAACCAGTGGCTGTACTGAATGCTTTTCTGCATTTGTTGCATGCAAAGGATTTCTCCCCTGTGTGAATTCTTTCATGTCTAAGAAGGTTACGCTTTTGATTGAAAGCTTTCCCACATTGCTTACATACAAAGGGTTTCTCCCCAGTGTGAATTATTTCATGTTTAATAAGGTCACTATTTTGACGGAAAGATTTCCCACATTGCTTACATACAAAGGATTTCTCCCCAGTGTGAATTCTATCATGTACTTTACAAGCAGAGGCTGTACTGAATGCTTTCCCACACTTGTTGCATGCAAAGGATTTCTCCCCTGTGTGAATTCTTTCATGTCTAAGAAGGCTAGGCTTTTGATTGAAAGATTTCCCACATTGCTTACATACAAAGTGTTTCTCCCCAGTGTGAATTCTTTCATGTGTAATAAGGTCACTATTTTGACGGAAAGATTTCCCACATTGCTTACATACAAAGGATTTCTCCCCAGTGTGAATTCTATCATGTACTTTACAAGTAGAGGCTGTACTGAATGCTTCCCCACATTTGTTGCATGCAAAGGATTTCTCCCCAGTGTGAATGTTTTTATTACTTTGACAGCCACTGAGTCTACTGAATGCTGTCCCACATTGCTTGCATTCATATGGTTGCTTTCCAGTGTGAAGTTTCTTATGTTTTTTAAAGAAATTACTGTGAGATAATACTTTTGCACATTTTTCAATTATATGATATTTCTCTCTACCATATTTTCTAACAGGTTTTTCAATATTGGATGAAGAAATAGAATTATTCTCATAGTGTTTTTGTACATAGGAGTTTCCCAAATTGTGGTTTGTCTTGGAGGTTTGAACACTGTTAGGTGTTGTGTGGGCTTTCACACTTTTGTTACCTACAAAAATTTTCTGCCCAGAGTGAATTTTTTCACTAAGAACAGATGTCTCCTCCTCATTTTGCCTGTATTCACTGGATCTCTCTACAGTGTTCCTCATTTCATGCTTCTGAAAGGACTGGAAATCACTGCAGGTCTCTACATCTTCATTACATTTATATGGCTGCTCTTCAATTCTCAAATAATTGTCTTCATCACTTCTGTGAAGAAATAAAAAAAGACATCAATCACAATGGAAAAGGTTCCACATTAGCAATATTTTTAATGATGACAAATTTAGTTTGATTCCTGCTAAGTAATTCTGATGGTTAACTGACTCACTGCCCTGCAGGACTTCTTTCAAAATACTATTCATTATAAAAATTGTTACTTTTTTTTTGTGCCAGGGATTGAACTCACAACTGCATGCTTGTAAGGCAGGCACTTATGCCCCGAGATAAATCCTCTGCTCCATTTAGGCAATTTTAAATTGTTACGTGATTCTAATACTTAATATCATTTTAGGACACTGGTACAAATGAATAGCAAACATTGATCATTTTTTTAGCTCTTCGTGTCTTAATCTCCCCTTTGTCTATTTAGCCTGATCATCTACAGAACATAAGGATTTCTGGTCATATATTCTCTCTCTTTACTTTCACTTCTCAAATAAGTTTTTAATTTCTCATTTAAGAAAAAATCTGAGTGTGGCTAGGGATTTAGCTCAGCAGCATAAGCACCAGCATGGCAAGCATGAGATTGTGAGTTCGTTCCTCAGTACCGAGAGAGAGAGAGAGAAAGAGAGAGAGAAAGAGAGACAAGAAAAACCTGTGATATTTCCATTTCTATGTCTGAATTACTTCACTTAAGGTCCAGTACTTATTGTTTATTGGGAAATGATATCATGGTTCCCTGTATAGCTTTTTTTTAAACGTCGAGTTAAACACAGGTCATAGAATGAACTACATTTGCTGACCTATTATTTGTTTTGTTGAGAGAGATTTTTATTGACCATCAACTTGTCCAAGCTGAACTTCAAGTTCTCATCCTGCTGATTCAGCTTCCCCAGCTGCTTGGCGATTGCAGGAATGCACCACAGTGTTGAGCTGACTCCAAATTTTCTTTACCTTGGCATCCAGTGATGGGCATCTGGGCTCTTCTCAATGCTTAGCTACTGGGAGTTGATTCTTGTATTAGATATTGTAAATGCCCTTTCATGTGCTTTAACAAACAACACACTCATGGTTCACTAACATTTGATGATTTTAATGTATTTGACAATATACTGAGAGAATCATTACACATCATGACACAGTATGACCCACTCAACAGTCAGGAGGTAGAGGCAGGAGGATTGCTCGGAGTTTCAGGCCATTATCGGCTTCACAGTAAGCTCAAAGTCAACCTGAACTACAGTATAAAATCATGGCTCAAAAGATTTAAAAAAGGATATCATTGTGGATGTACATGTGAAACAATATGAAACATTTTGTTTGCATTTTCAGACCACTGAATAGTTTTTACCATGTTTGTATTTTATGTATCCATCAACAATGTATGAGGAATTTTAAACATGAGCAGCTCAATATTCTATAGGGTATTTTCAGAGTACTTATTGTAACAGCAGAATTCATTTTCATTTGGAATACTGATTCTATGTGAAAAGAATTCTAGATCATGAAAGTCTCAGTATTCACATGTATATCCAAATGATATTTTGAAGATGGATATTTATCAAGTTTCAAAATTTGTTCATTTCCTACATATCAGAATACAATATTTTAATTTATTATCATACAATTCTATGATGTTGATCATGAAGGCAATTTTTAAACTGATACATTAGATAGTGTTATTTACTACATGTATTACAATTACCTCTGATTCTTATATTTCAATATGTTTCGATGGATTCCCAGATAATACAAAATAAAATCAAGTGTATCTCTTGGTATTTTTTGAGGTTAAATAAGGTATAACATGATCTCATTTCTTCAGGTTCCTTTGTTTTAATATTTATGCTCACACACTGACAATTAAGTAATGTTCTCTTTCTCTTATGTGTTTCATTCACCTTATATTACTTGAGCAATTTTTGTCCTCTTCCTTAATTTGCTGATTATTCCATATTTTTCCTGTAATATGGACATAGAAATAAAATACACTTACTATAATTGTACATTAAAATATACATGATTTGATTTATACTCATAGTATAGTATAATCAGATTTGAGATACACAAGCAAATGTTATTATCAAATATATTAAACTGTATCAATGAGCAATAATTAATGCTGTTAGTAAACAAACGTTTCATCCTTACCTGTTGCAGTAATATTCATATATGTTTCCCACATCACTCCTCTGTAGAGCTTCTTTTGGGATGGAGTCAGCAAATCCCACTCTTCTGGGGTGAAGTTCACAGCTACATCCTCAAAGGTCACTGTCTCCTAAATAATGACAAGGGTCCTGAAGTTCAGGCATACACAACCTGATATATCTCAGTTCCTGTAATAAGTAGTCTAATTGAAATTCATGCTTTCAAGTATTAACTGCATGTTATGGTCATCAAAACTCAAGTACATTCAAATATAGTCACCCAGTAACACTGATGCTGGACTATGACACACTGCTAAAGCAATCACAGAACTGTAGCATGGTTTGTCCCACAGGGCCACCAATAGTGTAGTTTTTCACTTACTTTAAAGCAGAGCTCAAAGTGTTAGGATGCAAACCACCATTCACAAAATATTGATTATTCATAACACGGAGTTTGTCTTTTTTATCAACAGCATCATGGTCTTGAATCTAGATCTATATATAAATATTTAGTTGAATATGAATATAGATTTCTGAGTGATTAAAATTTAATGACAGAAAAGTTTTATTTGACCATTCTATAGACAAGGAAATAAGGGAAAATGTAGTTATAAATCTATACCTCAGGGATACTAAATTATCTCCTTGTATGTATATACTGGAAATTCCACTAGGGTGCAAAGGAAGATAATGTGGGGAAAAAACCATATATGAAATGCTTGAACTAGAGTGAAAATTGCGGAATAGCAAAGTAACTGGTCACTAAATACAGAAGAAATAGTTCAGTACAGTGGAGTAGTATATGCTTGTACTCTCAGAACTTGAAATCATAATGTAAGAGGATTACCAGAAATTTCATGCTTGCCATGCATAGTGTCCACCCTGGGCTATGTAACAAGGACTGTTCAGACTACAAAGTGAGGCCATTCATTAAACCCTGTACCAAATGAAAATTAAAATTAATTCACAGTCATTGACAAATCACAACTTTGCACCCAGGATATATCTCAATGGTACAAGCACACATGTGACATTTGCAAGGGCCTGAATACAATTTCCAGTACCAAAAAGAGAATTCAAATGTACCTTTGATTAGTTCCAACAACTGTACATGTATGTTAGAGAAAAAATGCCTGTAAACATTGAATATTTGTGTTCAAGGAAACATTTTGCCTAATAAACAGGAAAACATTTGACATTCAACATTCATATGAGTGGACAAATGGATCTCAGGAAAGGAAAACAACCTTCAATTCATTCACATGGAAGATTATGTCACAATTCAGCTGGCATTGTGCTTCTAGGCAAGAAAGCACAATATCTTTCATTTACATTCATAAAGAAACAAGTATGTCCCTAGAAATCTGGCCTGCACACTATCCTTGCCTATATGCATTGGTGAACAATTGAAATGGTAAAGAGAAACATGAATTACTGTGAAATTTATACTGAAAAATAGTTAGTGCAAAAATCTTCTGAAGAAAATCAAGCATCCATGAAAATTAGAAGTTGCAATCTATGAAAATTGGAATTAAACAAGAAAACATTTATTGAGAACACAATACAAAGATTTTACATAGAGTTAAGATCAATGAGCACAAATCTAAAAATAAGCAAAATTTATGTGACCCAGCAAAAAGAATGAAGAGAAAAGAAAATCTAAATCACATTTGTGAGTATAACCAAACAATATTGAAGTGTGGAAGAAAAAATAATTAGATTTATTCTTAAATTTCACAAACGCCTTTTCTATGGAGTTTATGAAAATCTACACACAAGTGAATTCTTTCTAACATCTACAAAATATTTTGTTCTATGATTCCTTGAAATACATGTGATTCTTTTCAAGTGAAATTACAGACTCAGAAACTGTGACCAAGTTAATAAATGAGAATGTACTTTGGCCTTGATTCACCTATCAGCACTTGTGAATGACTGTGAGAAATGATTGAATTGATAAATATCACAAAATCTCACAATATATTTCTATGTGCAATTTCAATGGTAGTTTCTAAAAACTTAAAGGAAATAAGTTAAAAATATAATTTCCATAAAAGAGCACATTGTAAACTTTGGAATATTTCCAAAGAATTGTAATCAATCATGCAATAATACTTTCTGACCTGAATGTATTTTTCACACGGTTACCTTCATTTGTTGCTTAAGATCCTTTGGTGAAACTTTATGAATACACCTGTGACTCTTTCACTGTTCTCATTAAATCTATACACAAAAGCTTTGAGAATAAGATTTTCTTTAAATGATTAAAACAATAAATTGCAATACAGGTACTAACTGATTTGTATCTGTTTATGTCTTGAGATATGAAATGATTGGACAGTTTCCATATTAGATAGTGATAAACAAACTACAGTTACAAATATCAGTGTAACAAACTCAGTGCTAACTGTTGTGAAATTTGAAGTTCACCAAAAGGAAAACAGGTCAGGAGAGGAGACTTTATAAGGAGAACAGGTCAGATTAAAAGGGACTGAGAGAACAGGTGTCAGAGCTGACTAATAGCTAGACAACTAGGTAATCTGCAAATACTCTCATGATCTGGAGAGCAGTGTTTATTGTGTGCACACTGATACGATAGGTTAAATAGTAAGCTATGCAAAAAGACATACCTCAATGCCATTGATTCAACAAAACATACTGACACTACATTAGCTGGATTATATTCCGCATGTACAATCAGCAGTTATTTAGAAACAAATATCATTCCTTAATATATGGCCCATATAAAGAGCAATCAACTACATAAACAGAAACAGAATAGGGAGAGAAAATTCAATCATTTACAAGTATATATTTAAGAGTTCAAAACATCTTCATCAGTGACTAACAGCTCAAGAATGCAGAGCAATCTTTAAGGTCACACATAAATTCATCAA